AATTATATAAGTAAATAAGAGTTATATTTACAAATTTTTTATTTATAAACTACACTATGTATTCTCGAAAAAATATTAGGTTACATTATGTTTTCTCGAGAGTACATAGTGTAATTTGTAAAAATTTATTAAAAATTTTTATAAACGGATCATTCCCTTATAAGTAATATATAATTATAATATTAAAATTATTTTTTTTTACTTGGTATTTTTATTATGTCTTTATTGTCAACATTTTAAGTATTTTTATCAATTTAGTATTAACCCATGAATCCTCAGTAGCTTGCAAGGAAGACTAATTAATGATTATGTTAATCAGTTTTTTTTTTTTTTTTTTTTGTTGAAATGGATACACATATTTTATTTAACATGACATAGTTATGCATAGGTCATAATCATATAAAAGTGAATTAACAGTAATGATTTTATAATTATTTATTTTAATATTTTTTCTCTCTCTTATAATATTACTAGTGATTTATCTTTGTATAATTATAATTTTTTTATATGATCATGTCATATTAAATAAAATATGAGGCTATTTACCAAAAAATAAAATAAAAATGAGGCTGCACTCCTTTTTTTTTTAATCAGTTAATCACACTATTTTTTATTGCAAAAGCTTATATCCGTATCTATGATTATCAGATTTCTAGCACAAGAAGTTTTTTTTCTCTCTATTTTAAGAATTTTTTTTGAAGGAGGTGAGAAAGGAGGACGACGATCATAAAAGTAGAATTATCCGGAATCGACTCATCTTGAGATATATAGTATCACATTGGTTGTATAAGTAATTAATGTTGAGTTTATAAGGCCTTGAACACTCCTACCCTTTGAGCTAGCTTTTGGGGTGGTATATCACAAAGTTCCTTAGATGATATCAGAGCTTGAGTGATTACAAGGTCACAAGTTCGATCTTCACCACCCCACTTTAAAGTAAAATTAAAATATAAAGCACAAAAGATAAAAAGGTAAACAAAAAATTTGGACCTGTGCACAAAGGACTCTTGCATGAGGAGGCGTGTTGAGATATATAGTCCCACATGCAACTAATGTGGCCTTTATAAGACTTTGGACACTGTCATCCTTTGAGCTAGCTTTTGTTTGGGGTGGTGTATCCGAAAGTTCCTTAGAACTCAAAGAAAGTTTACACGAACGCCTTATACTATTTTAGGAAACTAATTACTTCACAATGAAACACAGGAATTAAGTTAATTTTAATGACCGGAGACTAGGAGAGTATTCAAAGAATTTACAAATAATTAAAAAACGTCGGAGTTAGACATAGAACAGTAACATGGCGCAATTAGCGCCAATAAAACATTAGCCGAGTGAAGACAAGTAACGTGGATAAATTAATAAGCAATTATTCTAGTTTAATTAATGATCTTAAGTTCAAGTTCTGGACATGTAGTTATGTTAAAAATTTGTAGAGAGAGTTTTTTTGTCGCTATGATTCTATAAATTAATTGAAGAACCGCTGGAGAAATCTAAAATAAAATTAAAAAAATAGGTGGGGCTCAACACTAGTTGGATTTTGCACGCCATCTAAGTATCCACTTTTGCAAAACGTCATTTTCTTTCTTTTGTAATTGGTTAATAATTTTGGTTATTGCCTTTTGGATTAAGTTTGATGGTGTTTTAGCAGAAAACCTAACTTGGTGGATCCTCCTTATCATCAAAATAAATCATAGCAAGAGTGTTTCGCCGCAACTTCTCAAATTAGCAATACTATACAATCAATCAGCTTCAGTAGACGACTTGAAATTTAGAGAGAAAATATTCTGAGTTTCTAAATAGACCGCCACATATGGCCCAACTATTTCTATGCTCTCAAAGTGCTTTTGTTACTCGTCAATTTGGGGTCATGTTCGTATGATTTGAATTTTTGCTGAAATGAGACCCCAAAATAAGGTGTTGAATTTCAATTTTACGTGTCCGACATAGTAAGGATATTAAGAATGACATAAATGAAGGTGTTGAATCACAAAGTATTATATGAAACAAGTTTGAATCCATGATATGTTAAGGATGATGTTGTTTTAAAAAATAATTTGTAAAATAATTTGTCAAACAAGATTTAAATTCCTTAAAACATGATAAAAATGCTATTTTTAAAACATTTTTTTTTTAATTTTTTTATAAAATAATAATTCAATTCACTATAATCATAAAGTTGAGGATAGTTAAATTTGTTCACATTTATTTCTAATTTTTATGAAAAGATGTTTCATTGCTTATAATTTTGGAAATTAGACTCCACCTGTACTTCTAGTAAAATCCAACAAAATAATTTCAAGTGTATTAGATAAGGGATTAGACTAATCTTACTTCGATCCTCCTCCAATTTTCAATTGTAGGTCAATTTTAATGATTTTTTAGTAATTAAGGAGGGAAGAGCTAAAAAAAATAAAATAAAAATTCAACGAGTTTATGAAACGAAATCTAACAACTCCTGCGGCTTCAGCCTCTAACGTATTAGTCATTTTGACTGGCACAATGTTTTGGTTTACCATGTAAAATGCAAAATGACATATGTATAAAAATTGGGATCTATTTATATTACGTTGCATGAGATAATTATATCATCTTATCTCATGCAACAGAGACAAGATAATAGGGTCCACCATTTTTTAATGAAAAAATAAAATAAAATAAAATAATAGATTTCACTATTTTGTTTCTATTGCATGAGATAATTGTCTTATGTAACATGAGACAATTATTTCGCATAAAAATTTATAATAAATGAATGAAATAAGTTTTTTATCGGAGATTGTTTAATAAAATAAAAGACTTGATTTTTGTAATTTTTTATTTATTTTTTTCCATTTTTTTTTCTTTTTCATGGAAAAACATAATTGTTGTAATATAATTTTTTCCTCTTCTCCATAGATGGTTAAGATTTATATAATCATTGAATATATTTTTATTTTATTTATATCTTTACTTTTTTAGAGATAAAATAAATATTTTTAAGTATATTGATAATTTACATGATTAACTTCAAGATATTTTTTTTAAATATACAGATATATTATTGGAATAATGAGATTAAATTTTCACGCTTTTATGTGTATAATTAAAGGCTTTAATATTTCTAAAGTGAATGTAGATAAGTATATACATTCACTCCTACAACGACGTCATTTTGGATTGAAAAATTAAAAAATTATAATGAGAAAGACTATTATAACCCTGAAATAAATTATAATTATAAAAATACCTTGATTTCAGTCCCAAAACGACATCGTTTTGGGCTCAATGTAGATAATTTATTTACATTGACTATAGAAAAGATGAACTCATAATTAAATCCCAAATTTAATTTTAAATTTTCTTTTCAAATTTTTTAATTAAATAAATTGGTAATGCCTTCATTTTTTTTTGGGTATAAATCGACCACCAACCTCGAACCATACAACCCCTTAGGAGCTCAGTTGTCAGTTGAGCTATCTTAGGGGGTTTGCTTTCCTTTAAAAAAAACAAATTATAGATGTTTTTTAAATAAATTATAGTTGCCTCTCAGCAAGTTGTGTACGAAAAATGCAGTGACGTGGAACCTAAGGGTGTGCTTGGAAGTCAATATTAAGAGGAAAATGGAAGGAATGAGAATATTTTGCTTATGTTTTCTCTTTGTATGTGAATTTTAAAAAATGGGGAAGGGAATAGGAGATTTTTATAAAATCATCCAATACTGTTTTTACCCTAAAAATATAAATTTTCCCAATTTGGTGGGTTTGAGAAGAAAAATATATTAAATTACTTATGTTCCTTATTAATAATTTTTATTTTGTTATAATGTGAAATAGATAATTTTAGAGAGAAAGAAATAATTTTTAGAGAGAGAAATTTTTTAAATGTGAAAATTACATAAATAATTTTTTTAGAAATTTTAAATTCAATTTCATTTGTAAAATATAATAACTATTTTTTTTTAATAAATGATAAAATTGTAAAAATATGGCATTAACTATTCATTTTTTCTTTTTTATCATATTTTTAAATCTCAAACAAATGAAATGTAATACCTTACATTTTTCTTCCTTTTGTTTCCTCCCTCCCCCTTGAATTTTCTTCATTCCCTTCTCCTTCAAACTCCCAAACACACCTTAAAGTGATACGTAATCTCATAACTTTATTTACAAGTCTTCTAAAAATCAATGCTAACGGACCACTTTATGATTTAAGTAGCTCGGCCCATTTGAAGAAAAAAAGAAAAGAAGTAAAAATTCGAAACTAAAAAAAAATTATGAATATTACTCAATGTTACACTTTTATGATATTTGAAATGGGTATACACTCACATTTGAAATGGATTATACATTTTTTTTCTCACCTTTAATTTTTTTTTCTCTTATTTATTCTTTAGATAGGAGATAATACTGTTTTTTATATAACATAAAAAAATATCACCTATTTGGAATATATAATATGAATTTAAATTAATGACAAAATACTTGAATGAATGAAATTCATTGAATAACTGAGTGAATTTAATAATATTACATAAATAAATAATTATTTCTTTGAAAGTGAAAAGTCATTAACATTCTTTACAATATTATTAATTAAAGATTAAATTATTAGTTGAGTTTGGTGTTTATCTTTTTAAATAACATAAAATTATATCTTTGAAAAAAAAATATATACAATGAAAATTAGGTGAGTAAAGATGAATATTTTTTAATTTAAATTTTAAATAAAAAATATTAATTTTAACTAAAATGATTAGTAGGTACATTTTTCTTTTATTGATTTAGTATAAGAATTTTATAAGAGTTATGTTGTAGTAAAAATGATTGTGTAATGTTATAGAGATTCGTGTTGCGTGCTATAATTTTTTTTTTTGTATTAAAAAGTGTGGACTTCACAAAATATTATGTGTGTAAAAAAGTTTTTCTGATCGCCATGTTAAAGGACAAATTAAAATCCCTCGCTATAATAATTAAAATATATTTTATTGTGGTAAGGGAGAAGTAACTGTAGAATGAAAAGTGGGGTATTTGAGTATTTCCATCGTAAACGCCAATTAGCTCCGGTGACTTTTTCCGGCATGGACATTAACATGGCTTCAACTTCAATCGCCACTTTCTCCATGTCAATCAACTCACAATCCCAATCAAAATTTCTCAATTTGGTTTGTCAACCACTGATTCGTAGCCGCATCAAACACACTTCAATTTCATTTCAAAGGGCCATAGTTGGAACTACCCTTTTATCAATATGTAATTGTTCCCACACTCCTTGCATACCCTCCTCAAATTTGTCAAGCCCCACCTATGCTATCTCACCCAGAAGGAGTTTAACCAAGTTTCTTTCAGAAAAGATAGCGTTTTTTCTCATTGGGTCGTTTATCTTCACGGGTTGCTTCAGCAAAAGAGCTGCTTTTGCAGTAGCAATGCCTTCTTCCGTGGGTTCTGGGGGTGCGTTGGAGGAGAAGGTGGAATCCATGGAAGGGGAAAACGATGAAGAAATGTGTGAGGAGATTTTGGAGAAGGACCCAAGAAATGTTGAAGCTCTCAAGGTGATTTTGTATGGGAAGATTAGGAGAGGGAAGTCTAAGGAGGCTGTGAAGTTTGTGGAGAGTTTGATTGATGTGGAGCCAAATGAGGTTGAGTGGAGGCTTTTGTTGGCACTGTGTTATGAGACAATGGGGCACTTGAGTACGGCTAAAAGATTGTTCAGGGAAATCTTGGAGAAAAAGCCTCTTCTCGTTAGAGCTCTGCATGTAATGTTTCTCAGCCTTTCTTTCTCTTTTTGCTGATGGAATTTTGAATATTGCTAGAAAGTTTGATTCTTATTAAAAAGTTGGGGTGGATAGATAGGAAATGCTTTGTTTTGGTTAGTCATATGCTGACAATAAGCCATTAGGAATTTTTGGAAATCTAGTCAAATACGTGTTATTTGAATGTTTATAATTGTTCATCATGCTTATTGAGAGTGCACAGCACAAATGCTGTTCTGCCACGAAAAAGATAAATCCTTTGTTATTCTATATGCAAATATGATGATGATTGCACGTTGACATGCCAGTTCGTTTTATAAAGGTATATTAATCATTGCCCTGTGAGCCATTCTTCAGAGAGTTTCTTTTATCTCAGCACCATAAACTGTATTAATGTCTCGACTTTATATATTTTGGAATGAAGTTTTTTGACTTTGGCCTCTTCATTTGTTTTATGCATTTTTTAGTTAGGATTTGATCAGATTAGTTGAAAAATGTTTATTCATTCCGATGTATGTGTTGCTTAGTTTAGGTATAGCTATGAAGGTGGCTTGTTAGAGGCTTCTTTGACAGCATTCTGTGGTTTATATATTCAAAAAATAAAAATGGGTATCATATTCATACTATATTACAATTCCATATCATGAAATCAAGTTACCATGGTGCTTCCTTTGTTTGTTATTGTTGTTCATTTGTGATTGAGATGATTGACACTCTCTTTTACAGGGTCTGGCTATGGTGATGCACAAAAACCATGAAGGTCCTGCTGTATTCGAAATGCTGAATAAGGCTCTAGACTTAGCTTCTCGCGAAAAAAGAGTTACGGAGGAGAGAAATATAAGAATCTTAATTGCACAAATGCTTGTTGTACAGGTGAATTATTGACGCATCAGCTCGGGGTGGAGTTGTTTTTATTTGTTCTGGTGTCAGACAAGTTTTCTTGTTCTCTACTTATCTGCCACCATTTCAGGATAAGGCATAAACATTATCTTTTAGGAGTAATAATTTAATATGCATAACCTTTATGTGCTTTGTAGGGGAATTTGGAGGAGGGCTTAAAAAGATTTCAAGATTTGATTGATCAAAATCCTCGAGATTTTAGGCCTTATCTTTGCCGGGTGAGTTTGTCTGCAAGTCAAGAACAATGGCTACAAGAAGTTTTATTCATATACAAGGAGCATGAGAGATGAGAGGGGCTAATCTTGACCATTCAATCTTACATAGATGATCATGAACTCCTCTCACCTCTCACTTGATCATTAACTGCTGCATAAAAGGTTTTTTTATCCTTTTTATTTAGTTTTTTTTTGTTTTGCTTGTGTGATTGATTTCTTCTAGTTAGACTGCCGATTGAACCAGCTCCCAATGGTTTGGGTTATACAACTACGCTTAGGGTAGTCATTTGCAATTATTTTTATTTGGACACCTCAGAGCAAGACCATGAAGGGACCCCCCAAACGTAACCAGTATGAATATAGTTTGATTTCATATAACCAAAGTTCTAGGGTGTGAAGAGAAAGAAACCCTTGTGGAATAGAAAAAATAAATAATAAGGGTTATCCCCTTTAGCTAGAATTTTCCTCTCTTTTCATGCTTGCTGTTGTTTGAAAGTGTTAGGACTTGTTCCTCCTTAATTATTTATGGCGGCTAATCATTAATGGTGCAAGGCTCCATGTCTTGATTATTCCCCTAATAATTGAAGAAGAATCTAGAGCATCGAATGATGTGTTTACCCCATCTATAAAATGGGAAGAAATCAAAACCTAAAAAAAAAGAAAAAGAAAAAAGAGAGAGAGAGTAGAACACTAGTGAGAATGCTAGAATTCCTCTTCTAAGAAGAGAGAGTATTCCTCCTTTGTGAGAGATATATTTTGTAATCCATCCTTAGAGCGGGTGAAGAATTGTGAGTAATCCTCTAGGGTAGAATTTCTTGTAATCCTACTTGAATAGTGGATGATTTCCTGAACCCATGGTTTTTATTCCTTACATTGAGGAGATTTTTCACATTAAAAACTGTGTATTTCTCGTTCTTCATCTCTTTTCTGTTATTTTGCTGAACTGACAATTTTCAAGTTCATCAACTGCTTCTGCATTAGTTAGACGTTCTTTGATTCAACAGAAAGATGGGCTGGTCGGATCACTCAATTCTTATGCTGTGTCTAGAGAAGAATGGAGCTAATTCACCCCCCCCCCCCCCCCCTCCCTATTTAGTATTAGTCATCAGCTTTTTTGGAAGGCTCTAAGAGTAAGAGGGTTTACATGTTCTTATTTCCTGTATGTTTGCACTGTGTGTCCTGGATGCACTGAACCATAAAAATTTGTTATCTTTCAGTGTTCATATGCTGACCTTTATTTCCAAATTACTCCCCCTTCTTGATTTTTTATATGTTCAATATTATTTAGGTTAATGCCATTATTTTGCTAATATAATTTTGTACGATATTTCACTGCAAACGATTACTTTCAGTGGTTATGGAATTTAGGTAGGAATAGATAGAAGTGATTTTGGCTGATTCTATTCATGAAATTACTAATTTGATTTTTATTTTTTATTTTTTTTAAATGCAGGGAATTATATACAGCCTCCAGGATAAAAAGGAGGAAGCTGCACAGCAGTTTGAAACATATCAAGCTCTTGTGCCTGAAGAGTTTCCACAGAGGGGATTTCTTGATGATGTTGCCTTATCAGCAAAAGGAACATCCCGAGAACAGTTTCAGAAGCAATTTAAAGATCAATTTTCTTACGGGAAGCAGGAATAATATACGACGTTTTGTTCTTTGTTGTCTGAACTACTTTTATGATGTACTAGAATGTGTAGCGCAGTTTTGGTGTTTGTACGACGTTATCATTTTTTTTTTGGTCCTTGTAGGTCTTATACCTTCATTTATTAATCATCATGGTTACTCAAATTGCTTTGAAGTATACGTGATTTGTCATGGCATTCTTGTAGGCAAAAATTCCGTACTACTGTTAATTTGCAAAAGTATCTCCACGCTGAAACACATTTGTAAAGATTGATGAGAGTAGGGCAGTCAAACATGTAGGGTGGACTGACGTGACCAGTCCCGCCACTTACAACGACGAGATCAGCAGCCACGTAGGATCCAAGTTGTATCAGTGCATGAATCCCACCACTTGCTGTGGCTCATTTGAGTCTCGCCATATCAGTTGGCGAGACTAAGCCACGTGTACAAAACCTCCTAACATGTTTCAGATTATTACGATTTTAATTAGTGTTTTAATTAATAGTAATCATATTTAATTTACAATGCTTTATAATCCATGTTAGGAAAGTAAGTCTTTGACATTGAAAATTATAAACATGAATCTGAAATAGTAATTTTGATTTAATATATTTATAATTATTACAATTTTTATTTATGGGAATCGTAATAATTGTTTGAAGGTTTTGTACACGTGGCTTAGTCTCGCCAACTGATATGGCGGGACACAAATGAGCCACAGCAAGTGGCGGGATTTATGCACTGATACGACTTGGATCTTACGTGACTGCTGATCTCGTCGTTCTAAGTGGCGGGACTGGTCACGTCAGTCCACCCTACATGTTTGACTGCTCTACTCTCATCAATCTTTACAAATGTGTTTCAGCGTGGAGATACTTTTGCAAATTAACATTAGTACGAAATTTTTGCCCATTCTTGTAGTTTTACTTCTCTTATTTATTGGTTATGATTATTGATGAATTGCTTAATTATGTTTGTTTATTGCTTTTTGGTTATGGTGGCAATAACCAAAAAATGGGATTTGGATTAAAAGAAAACAAAAGATGAAGGTATATTTGACATACCTCAACTTGTTTAGCTGCATTATCTTCGGTTGGGGGCAAAACAGAACACAGCCCAAAAATAAGGGTGAAAAAATAAAAAAGAGGGTTCAAGATTAGTATGAAACTATATTTATATTATCGTTTACTTATACCTTCTCGAATACTTGCTAAATATACAATAAACATCATCGACAAAACTTATTTCGGTTCTGTGTCTTTATTTGAACATTTACTACCTGTTAATTATCATATATGATAACTACAATTAGAAAATTGTTTATCAGATAACTTTTTTTACACTTTAAATAGGCATTGTAACAAAAAACATCTAAGCACAACCCATATTTGGTTCATATGTGGTTGTCCTCTTAATCGTAACAAACTATTTTAGTTTTCCAAAATATATTATATTAAACCTCTTGCATTTCATTGTCACCTTTGTCACCTTGATTACCTTCCACTTCATAAACGGCTCAAACCATGGCTCGAGCCGAGATCTGGATGTGGGGGTTTATGTTGGTATTGGTCATAGGTCATTGCCAACTACAAGGTGCTCATGGGGCTGAGTCTATACAAGGTCTTGGTGTTAATTGGGGTTCACTAGCATCCCACCCTATGGATCCTCGCATTGTGGTTAATATGTTGAAGGCCAACAAGATCAACAAGGTGAAACTTTTTGATGCAGATTCTTGGACCGTGAGTGCCTTTTATGGTTCAGATATTGAAGTCATGGTTGGAATTCCTAATGATCAATTAAATAAACTTGCTGATAGTAGCAGCAAAGCAGAAGATTGGGTGAAAAAACATGTCACCAAACATATGCATAGTGGGGGCGCGAACATTAGGTATGGCATTAAGTTATTTCACGGGACTCACTATTTACGTATATATATGTAGGGATTTGATTTTCTCATGTTGCATGAGAATTCAATTCTCATGTTGTGACACAACTAATAGTGGATCCCACATATATTAAAAAGAGAAAAAGAAAAGAAAAACTTTGCACGCAAATCGAAGAGTCACAACATGAGAATTGAATTCTCATGCAACATGAAAAAATATTTTTCCATATAAGTATTATGAACATTATATCATGAATTTAGATGAGTGAAAATTCAAAATTTCCAATCTTCTCCTTACCCTTGTTGCAGATACGTAGCTGTTGGAAATGAGCCATTCTTGAAAAGTTTCAATGGTACGTATGTAGATACCACACTCCCAGCAATGGAAAATATTCAAAAGGCTATTGATAAGGCTGGTTATGGAGACAGAGTGAAGGTGACCACGCCATTAAATGCTGATGTTTACGAGTCTAATTCGAACAAGCCATCAGATGGAGATTTTCGGAGTGATATTCGTAATAATATGAAACAAATAGTGGATTTTCTTCATTCAAGGGATTCACCATTTCTTGTCAACATATACCCTTTCCTTAGTCTATATCAAAATGAAGGTTTTCCCGAAGATTTTGCATTCTTTGATAGTCAAAGCAGAACAATTGAAGACAAAAATGCTCAATATAGCAATGTTCTTGATGCAAATTTTGATACCCTTGTTTGGTCATTAAAAAAGGCTGGTTACCCTGGCTTGAAAATTGTGGTTGGTGAAATTGGATGGCCAACCGATGGTGACAAAAATGCTAATATAAATAATGCAAAAAGGTTCTACAAAGGGTTCCTCAAGAAAATGGCAAGCAACAAAGGAACCCCACTTCGCCCAGGAACCATAGATGTGTATCTATTTTCTCTTTTTGATGAGAACTTGAAGAGTATTGATCCTGGCAACTTCGAGCGTCATTGGGGAATTTTTCGTTATGATGGAATACCAAAGTTTCCTATAGATTTTTCTGGTCAAGGAGAAGAGAAATGGCCTGAAGCAGTAAAAGGTGTGGTTTACCAAGAACATAAATGGTGTGTCCTTAGCCAGGATGTTAAGGACTTGAGTCTTGTGCCAGAGGCAGTAAGCTACGCTTGTGCAGGTGCTGATTGTACAAGCTTAGGATTTGGTTGTTCTTGTGCAAATTTAGACGTAGCTGGCAATGCTTCATATGCTTTCAACCAATACTTCCAAACAAGAGACCAAAGTGTTGAGGCATGTGATTTCAATGGAATGGCCACTATTGTAACACAGGATCCTTCAAAGGGAAGTTGCTTGTTCCCTATAGAAATTGAGAGCAGTGGAAGCAGGCTCAGATTAAAGCATGCATTGGGAGGCATTTTAATTGGATTATCATTGTTTTTCTTATAACTTTTACTTGATATAGTAGTCACTTTTGATTGATTATCATCCTTGAATTTGAGTTGTTGAGTGACACAAGGGGTTAGTGTAGTACTAAACATGGTAGCTCAATTGGTCTATATGAAAGTTGAGCGGGTGAAAATGATACCATGTATTTGATTCTCCCTAATAGCATCTTTGGAGGGGTTTAAAGTTTTAATCCTAAACTCATCCGGAACAGAATTGTCTTCCATGAAGGATACATGTGTTTTATCCAAAAAAAAAGAAAAAGAAAAAGAAAAAGGAAATAGCTTAGTAATTAAGAAGATCTATTTCCTATTTCAATTATTTAATAAAATTAATGTTTTTAAACACATGATGTAATTAAATGTCTTTTTAAAGATCGATGGGAAATGACTTACTCCTCGTTTTTTCAATTTTATTTCCTAGCAAATGGGAAAAGTACACTTTCTTAATGAACTTTTGCAAGAAGCAATTGAGTTGTTTCTTTGGTTAAACAAGTTTTTTTTGGTTAGGAATATGACTTCCATACTCAAGAGGGGGTGAATTGAGTATTACAAGATTTTCACAAAAGTCCCTTTTTAGTTTCTAAATAATCATTTCAAGCAAACTTTGATATGTAGAAAGCCAATCAATATATTCATACAATCCATAATATATATCACAATTATAAAACTTATACTAGCACATACAAGATATCAGAGAAGCAATTAAAGTGCTAAAAATAAAGAGTTTAGAGTTTAAAGAATTGCAAACACAATATATCCTGGTTCGGTCACCACCACTTGTGACCTACGTCCAGACTGAAGCCGCTCGATCAACTCTTTCACTAATGGTCAAGCTTTACGGGTGTTTGACAAACCTTTACAATCTTCCAAGACTTCGGGTTCTTGTATACCTTACAATCTCCAAGTTTACGGGTACTTGATAACCTTACAATTCACTCCAAGTTTACTTAGGTATTTGGCCACCTCTCAAACAATGGGTCTCACAACCCTTTTGTAAGAACCTGCACCGTTAATTAAGGAAGATAATTAATTGATAAAGAGAAATTAGGAAATAATTTCATAATTGACCCTAATAATTATTATGAGGTTTTAATAATTATAGTAAGTGAGTAATAATGCTGAAAGTCGCTTTTCTGACGAAAAGTACAGATACCGGTTCTGCTACTCGGTATAAATGCGTACCGATGAAGTATCCCGGAAAATTATAATAAGTGCATGAATATTCCTAGAATAATATGTAGGACTGTGATTTCAAGTTTCAAGTTAAAATAATGAGAACTGGTGCCAGAACAGATACTGGCTACGTAAAAGCGTGTACCGGAAAAGTGTTGCGAAAATTAATATAAAAATATGATAAATCTTGTAAAATTGAGTAGGTTCAGAATCCTAAGTTTGGGATTAAAATGCTAAGCGTAGCTATTATTGTTAATACTGTGTGTTTAAAACTTAAGTGCCTATAAATACAACTTTTGGGCTCAAAACCCTAGGAAATTTCTATTCCTACGTGACCTTTAGAGGCTGATCAGCCTTGGTACTGTTCCATTGCTTGTTCCCTTTCAAACTTGAGCTTTCTCCCTTGAAACCAACCAAGTCGTAGCATTTCCTTTTGATTCTTCCTCTTCCATCTTGTGTGCACTTGAGAGTATACATTGTGGGGAAAAAAGACACCTTCTTGCTGAGTTTAGCTTTTGAGTTGTGTTACTTGGGGCTAAGTTTGTGAACTACCTTAGTGGAGGCTTTGTTCATGACTTTTGTGGTGTCAAGAAGTGATCTTTTGGCTTAAAGGACCAAGCTTGGTGGTCAAATTCGTGTCTTGCCTAAGTCTGAACTTTGGTGCTGTCTTGAGGACCCTTATGGTGTCTCATTTTCGGATTTTTGAAGCTTAGAGGTATGCCATGAACACCTCTTTGTCTTTTGATATTTTTAAGCTTGTTTAATCGGTTAAAAAGTAAAACTTTGATCAATTGAATAAAGGAATGTGTTTCTGAGTCCTAAGCATGTTAATAAACATCTGTTTAAGGAGTTCTTGGACTCCAGATCGAGTTTGGATCATTGGAGGTCAATTATACCTTTAAAACTCAGTTTTCTGCATTCTGTCGAAGAAGTATTCGAATACTTTTCGGGCAGTATTCGAATACTTCCTTGAAAAATACAGTAATCGAATACTTCGCGAGACAACATCGACCTAGTTTAGTAAAATTTTGATATCTTAAGCTAAAGAGCTCTAAATTGAGTGAGGTTTGGACCTATGTGAAGCTAAAACATAGGCCTACAACCCTGTAAATTTTCAGATCCATTGGATAAGTTTATTGCTCTCAGTTTATGTTTGAAATCGCGACCCTATTATTGGAAATTCAGTTGTTGTAGGAACTTTGCAAAAATCATAACCAAAGTTATACAACTCCGATTGAGACATAAAATATGTCCTTGGAAAGCTTGAGATGTATAGTTTAACATATTAAAATATTAGAGTATTTGGTAAAGAGTTGCAACTGTAGTTTTAAACTGGTATTCGAATACTCCTTGCAGGAGTATTGGAATACTTTTTTGGGAAGAAAAGTATTCGGATACCTTTGAAGAAGTATTCAAATATTGCAAAGTATTAGAATACAGTGAGGTTTGGTATTTAGATACTGTGGTATTCGGATACTGGGGGGAAAAGTATTCGGATACTTGGTAGTATTCGAATACTTAAGTGAAAGTAGTCAAATACTTTCTGGAGAGCTGGAGTATTCGAATACTACTCGTGGAGTATTCGAATACCTCCTACAGAAACAACATGAAATGACTTAAATGAGTTAGAAAGCCTTAATCACTTTTAGAATCTTGAGCAATGATTATTGATGATTAATTATTGTATAAACAGATTGTGATTGTGCTGTTTGTGGGCCTTGAGCTTGTGTGGAATCTTGGTTTGGATTGTTAGCTTGCAAGGTAAGCTTTCGTGTCCTCGGATTAGTCTGTTGTTTGTTCCACCGACCTCCATGGGAGGGTGGTTTATATGCATGGGATGCTTTTATGAAAATGTTATATGCACGATATATGCCTGAGATATGTGAATATGATGTTGTTACTTACACAATCAGACAGCGACTTTGGTGTGTAAGGCATGTAGTGTCTGAATATGATGTCGTCACTTACACAATCAGACAGCGACTCTGGTGTGTAAGGCATGTAGTGTGTGAATATGATGTCGTTACTTACACAATCAGACAGCGACTCTGGTGTGTAAGGCATGTAGTGTATGAAAGTGATGTTGTTACTTATACAATCAGACAGCGACTCTGGTGTGTAAGGCATAAGAATGCGACTCTTATGTTAGATGGGTCGCAGACGTGCATAATCCCTATCCTGTTCCCTGGCCAGTCGAACCGCATTTACATACATCACATGATTATTGAGTTAAATGTTTAGCTCATTGAGCAAGAGATTATACTGTCATGATTTATATGCGTAACCTGAACATGCATTGCAATTACTGTTTTGAACTTATATTATGCCTATAAGTGAGCTTGGGGCGGGAGAGTCCTTGAGGACCCCTTGTCTTACTGAGATTTCTTTTTAGAGATCTCACCCCACGTTTGGGGCACCATTTTCAGGTTCTGGTAATGCGGGGGTTGAGACCTCTATCGGCAGGAGGCCAGAGCTTAGTTGATATTGCTGTTTATATGCTGACATGTTTGGATGCTGGATTATATCTGTTGATGATAAGCTATTAGCTTGTCATGGTTATGTTGCTGTTGTTGAGACTTGTTGGGCTTGTTGCTTTATTTAGTGAGCATGGGGATTGTCCATGCCACATTGATTGACTATGTCTTGTTTTAGATTCGAGTTGTAATAATGTATCAGGATTATGTCCGGACTACGTGTTGTAGTTCCGTGATTTTAGATACTCACTGTTATTTATATAATGAGGTTTTTCAGTTAGCTGCCTTTTGCAATTACATATAGGCAATGTTTTGAAAATGAAATAAGTAATTCAACTTGGTAATGATAATGACGTCATAATTGAATGAAAGAAAAAGTTATTCCGCATTTTAATTAAGCGTGGCTTAATACGATGGCATGTTAACATACCGGATGCATACGAGGTGTTACACCTTTCAACTCAAGAATACAAGGAGGGAAATATTTAGAAATGAATATACACTCTCAAAGTGTGGATATACAACTTGAAGCACTATGGGTATATGAATTTTCTAGATATGAGCTCAAATATGTTTGATCTTTGAAAGGTATGAAAGAATATGCAAATGATAGTGTAAAAGCTCTCAGTTAATATGTGTAGGAATGATGCCCAATGTTTTTGAGTCATTATGAATGCATATATAGTGTTTTCATTGAAAAACTAGCCGTTTATAGCCGTTGAAAAACTAGCCGTTGGAAAACTAGCCGTTTATAGCCGTTGGGAAACTAGCCGTTTATAGTCGTTGGGAAACTAGCCGTTTATAGCCGTTGGGATCTCATTTGAAAAACTAGTCGTTTTATAGCAGTTGGGACCACTTTTGAAAAACTAGCTGTTGGGATCTGTTGCATTGGTAGTCGATTCCCAACTTGACAGCAAGAACACTGTTTCGTATTTTGGCTATAATTTGAGTTATACTTGTCAGATTGATGTGATCTTGTCTCTTTGGAAAGATAAAAGAGAGATCTACAACTTCTATGAAGAACACAAGATCCAAATCCATCATATTAGATATGAAAAATTGTATGAAAGGCAATAGCGAAATTAAGCAATAAATTTTAAGTTCAAATGTGTTATAGCTTACTTCCAACTACTTTTTGTGAAAGACCTTGACTTGATAAATATGTTTTGAAGTTATAAAATATGTTAAGGATTTTTTCCATGGATTTTTAAAATTTCTTTCAAGTATATAAAAGTTATGATTATGCAATTTGAAAAACATGTTTACTTTGAGAAAAAACTTTGAGCTTATGCAACACAATCTATCATATACCCTCACATATATTCTAAGTCATAAAGATATATTCTAAATATGATTCTAGACTTAGCTTCATGTCTTGTGTCTTGGATCTTTACTTGAACTTGATGCTTTGACTTGTTGAATATAACAATGCTTGACACTTTGTTGGTTTTGATCATTTTTTACCATGGTTATGATGTTGAGCTTCTCTTAGGTTGTCCATGGTTAGTTGTCTTTGATCTTGTTATTGCTCTTCTAATTATTCATTGTTGCTCTTGATCCAATGATCTTACCTTTTTGTTGTTGCCACTTTGTTATCATCAAAACATACATTGTATCTACATTTTTGACCTCTTTCAAATTGTAAAATGAACATATTCCCAGTTTTGGTTGATGTGATATTGAAACCTAATTCAAAAATACTCTTATCATATTGAAAAAAATGCTTCAGTTATTATTATTATTATTATTATTATCTAATACTAGTAGGCTATAATGCATTGTTTATCTTGTGAGGAGAATAATTTAAGTTAGGGTGTTGGTTTTCTCCTGTGTTGTTGCAGGAGAAAACAACACCCTCCCACAAACTCATTGAATGTTGTTTTTTTTTATATATTTTTTAATTCTTTTTGGCTTGTGGATCCCACAAGCTCATGTTTATATAGGAATAAGGTTTATTTCTCATGTTAAAGGAAAAAAAAATACCTCTAAGTTATTATAGATAAATTAAGCTAGGGTTTTATAATTCTCATATTGAAGGAGAATTAAAATCTTATGTTGTAGAGATAAAAAACATGTGAGACCCATGTGTTAGAAAAAATTATATGTAGGACCCATGTCAGCACGGAAATCGAAGGGTGTGTAGAAAAATTGTAAATCTCATGTTAAATGAGAATTATAAAAACCCATTAAGCTAATCCCAATCCCATTATGCGTTAAAAATTATAATTTTTTAAAGCTGTGTTTTAGGATTTGTATATGAAAATATTAGTTCATATAGTTTTGGTTCATGTAATCTCATACATGTATTGTGAATCATTGGTTTTAATAAAAATAAAAAAGGGTGTATAGATGGAATTTTTTTCCTATAATATGATTATTTTGAGGGTGGTTGGATGGAATACTTTTATAAAAAAAAAATCCTTTTAAATTATATCTTGCATATCAACTTTTAGTAAAAAGAGAGGTGAATTTGATTACCAAAAAAAAAAAGAGAGATGAACAACAAAGTTTAAATACGATTTTTTTTTTCAAACCAGCATTCCTCTCTTAAAAAAATAAAAATTAAAAGTTAATTTTTTTTTCTTCAAAATTTTATTCAAACTCTAGCTTATTATTACCACTATTATCATATATCCATTTTAATAATTTTATGTGGTTTATTAATCTTATGTCATGGGAGAGAAGTTCTCTCTTATCATAAATACAATTATGGATGGAGCCTATACTTTTATAAAAAATAAAAAATAAAAATTGAGCTATACAATAAGTGTGTAGAAAAGAGAATTACTCTCTAATAACACGAGAATAATTTTTTCCTAATTTTATATATACAAAATATTTTAATTTTAAAAAGTATTTTTAAATATTTTATCCAAATATAAAACAATTTTGACTTCTAAAAATATATCTTTAAAAAGTAGTGCATAAAAAATCTACATGTAAAAGTCCATCGAAACTGACTTTTATATTCTTTATTTTAAGAGCTTTATTAATCCTCTCTTATCATAAATACAATTATGGATGGACCTATTCTTATAAAAAATAAACAAATAAAAATTAAATTACACAAAAATCTATGAATGTGTTGAAAATATACTTACTCTCCATTTCCCCTTATTTTAAGCAATTCAATTTAGGGTGGTGTAAAAGTGTAAGCAGCCTGATATTTCCCTGTTTTTCTCTGCACCTTCTCTGTTTGTTCTTGGTTGAACTCCTACCGGTTCCTTTGGGTTTCATGGCTATCAAGAAACCCTACAACTAACGCCGTCAACAACGTTATTGACTTCCCATTTCGATTACTAGGTACTGTTATCTTTGTCTCCCTATCTTTTTTTTTTTTTTTTTTAATTCAACAATGTAGTTTTTAGAACTATAATTGTAATTGATTCATGGCCACAGAATTTGTGTTCATCGCATCCCTAATTTCAGTGTGTGCTTCTCCTGTATAGCTTCCGCATTTTATTCCTTTTTTTTAATGTTTAATTTATTATTTTCTGCAATTTAATTTCGGCACTGTTGCTAAATTTAGATGTATGTTACTGTTGTGATTGGATAATTCTTACTATTGCATGCTGAAAACTGAATTTTCAACTTTACTGATTGTGATTCTGAAATCTCAGTGAGTTTCTTTAGGTTTTGTTATGTTTGTTCATAAGTTGATTGATCTAGTTACTCACATTGCCCTCATAAGCATAAATTTCCTTTAGTTTGGACCAGAGGTTTCTGTGGCACGAAAGGACACAACTATGCATATGATCATCTTTTAATTTCTGCATACTGAAACTAAAACTTACATAAATTTATTTGTCCCAAGATTAGTTTGTTTACCATGCAGATGTAGTTTGACTAACTATTTTCTAAATATTTAGGATTGTCGTCTTTTTCCTATTATATGTACATTTTTTTTTCCTGGGCGTGTATTGGGGAAGAATTCCATGGAGAGTGAAGCCCTTTGTATTCTGCTAGATCTTACTTTAATCAGACTAACACCCACATACATACATACTCCGTTCTTCTTCTTCTCACATCTCTATTTCCTTCATGCTGATGAAGCAAAAATATAAGAATGTTGCTTTGGCAAAAATATAAGAATGAAGCAAAAAGTTATAAATTAGGGATATATGGTTCATCTTGCTTGCTTGCTTTATATCTCTTGTAAACAGTTTCTTCTTCTTTTCTCTTTTTATACATCTATTTTACTGTGCTGCATGTTTGAATTAATTTTTCATCGTCATTTTCTTGTACCTACTATCTATTAAATTAAAATCAAATTAGAATGGGAGAGGACAGATATGGTCCCCAAACTCCCAACACAGTGGTGCAACTTCTTTTTTATTTTTTTATTTTTACATATTTTTTCTTTTATTGCTCATTTTTCACCCCCTCCCCCAATATTTTAGGTTTTGCTACAATTGTACTTGTCCACTTATATAATTCAAGAGATGAATGGCATTTTGAAAAGAGTTCACTAAAGGTAAGTATTACAACTTATAATTAAGTTATTAGAATTTAGTTCGATGCATATGTTTTTTAAAATTAACTCCAATTATTATGCTTGATTGTTGAATATTTAAAATAGAATCAACTAAAAATGTTTAATATATTTTATTTGTCGATTATTTTCAAAATTCAGCCTAATTTATTTATTTGATACTATTACCAAATTGTATTTTATTTTTTTTACATATTATCAGGTACCCAGTATAGTGGAAGAGAATTTGAAAGAATTTAATATGGGGAAGTCTAAAACTCTTGAGTCATTTTTTAAGAGAAAAGCCACTGAGAATCCTGAAGTTGGTGAATTGTCTTCTATCTCTTCATCAACTAAACCATTGATCAATGATGAACAACATCAATCTAAAATGTCAAGAGTGGAAAAAGAAGAAGTTGATATTTCTTTACTAGAAAAAGATCCGGGAATGCGCCCTCCAATTTGGCAATATCCTGTTGACCAATGTGATGAAATTCGAAAATCTTATATAAAAAATGGACCATATCAGCCTTGCCTAACCAAGTATCCAGCTTCGGGTAAACATCCTCGCCGCTTTCAATTTTCTTGGTTTCAAAAATTTCCTAGCTGGTTGGAATACTCACTCGAAAAAGATGCTGCATTTTGTCTACCATGCTATTTGTTCAGTAACAATTCTGCCAGTCGAAATAATGGACAAGATGCATTTACAGATAAGGGATTTCGAGCTTGGAAAAAAGTCGGTGGAAAGAATTGTGCTTTCCTTAGCCATATGGGATCTTCTCCTAATTCACTACATAATGTTTGTGTGAAACGTTGTGACGATTTGATGGCTCAAACCCAACGTATAGAGAATGTCTTCAGGCAATATGAGCAAATTATTGCAAATAATCGTTTATGGCTGAAGGCTTCAGTCATGGCTGTTCGGTGGCTCACATTTCAAGGATGTGCTTTTGGAGGTTATGATGAAAACTTCAACTCATTGAATAGGGGTAATTTTATTGAATTGATTGAGCTTTTAGCATCTTGTAATCAAGATATTTCTAATGCCCTTCAAAATGCTCCTGAAAATGCTCAATATATTTCACCTAGCATCCAAAAAGAAATCTTGTGTATTTTTGCTAGAAGGATACGTGCTGCTATTTGTGAAGAGATTGGTGATTCTAAATTTTGTCTTATAATTGATGAAGCTAGAGATGATTCAAATCAAGGACAAATGGCTGTGGTTTTCAGATTTGTGAGTAAAGATGGATATGTTCAAGAGAGATTCTTTGATATTGTTCATGTTTCAGATACTTCATCATTGACTTTGAAAAACAAAATTGATGGAGTTCTTTCCAGTCATAATCTTAGTATCCAAAATCTTAGAGGCCAAGGATATGATGGTGCAAGTAATGTGCGTGATGAATGGAATGGATTGCAAGCTTTATTCTTAAAGGATTGTCCTTATGCATACTATATTCAATATCCTGCTCATCGGTTTCAATTGGCATTAATTGCTGCAGCTAGAGAAGTTAGCTCAGTTCATCATTTTTTCACTAAGCTAGAGTTGATTGTTAATGTTGTGACTGCTTCTCCTAAAAGATTTGACCAGTCAAGATTTTCCCTTGCTCCTAATACTGTAAATCAAATCGCTAATCAAGAGATTCAAATAGGGAGTGAACATAATGAAGTAGATACTTTGCAATGGGCTGCAGACACTAGATGGGGCTCTCATTTGAATTCTATTCAAAGCTTACTATGCATGTTTGAGGCTATTTGTGAAGTTCTTCAAAAGACCTCTAAAGAAGGTAATTATTCTCTTCGTGGTGATTCTGTTCTTGCTTATGATGCTATCAATTCATTTGATTTCATCTTTCTCTTACATCTTATGAGAGATCTCTTGGAAATTAGTCACGATCTTTGTCAAGCTTTAGAATGTATAAGTCAAGATATCTTAAATGCCATGACTTTAGTGTCTACTACAAAAAATTTGATTCAAAGAATGAAAGAATTTAGATGGGAGGATCTTCTAAAAGAAGTCATATCATTCTGTGAAAAACATGAAGTTAATGTTCCTGATATGAATGCTCGTTATGCTCCTGGAAGAGGTCTATGTCACTCAGATGTTGAATATGTTTCAATAGAACACCACTATCGTGTCAATTTGTTTATTGCTACTATAGACACCCAGTTGCAAGAGATAAATAGCAGATTTAACGAGAATACTGTGGAGTTGCTTACTCTTAGTGCTGCCTTGGATCCAAGAGATAATTATAAATTACTAAATGTTGATCACATTTGTGAATTGGTGACTAGATTTTATCCTGAAGATTTCACAGAACAAGAGAAATTACATCTTAGAATACAGGCAGAGGAATATGGGCTTGATGTGCCTCAACATTCTAGGTTGAAACACTTATTGGCAATTTCTGAGTTATGCCAAGGATTAGTAGAAACAGGAAAATCTGAGATTTATCATTTGATTTATCGTTTACTTCGCTTGGTATTAACTCTTCCTGTTTCAACCGCTGCAAATGAGAGATCATTTTCAGCTTTGAATATGGTAAAAAATAGGCTCGGAAATAAGATGGAAGATGAGTTTCTAGCTGACTTTTTAGTCACGTGTATTGAAAGAAATATTGCTGAAAAGTTTGACTTTGATTCAATCATCGATGAATTTATCGACATGAAAGAGCATTGTGCTTAACTTCGATGGAGGTGTGATACAACTACTTTTTCAAGTAAGAAACTTTTATTTTAATATCTCGGTCTCCTTAATTGACAAGTTCGTGATCGTGACTGATAGAAATGGAGACTCTTTTAACATTCCCCGTTGTTTGTGAGAGTTGTATTAATAAATTTGATCTCTAATTTATAACTTTTTCTTTGTTTCAACGATGAAATGTTATACAGTTGAGTTGTGTCAAATGTAACGTGGTCAAGCAGTAGGAACTTTTTGTTCTTGGATAGATATCAGTGAGGAACATAATCTTTTAGGAGGGGATTGGGATACAGATATCTAAGATGTCCAAGCATCTAATGTCTCTAGGCATGAGATTATTGGGTTATTAGATGTTTGGATTTAGGGGTTTTCTTGTTTGGTATACTTAGATGTCTTGACATGCCACATGTGTGATGTTTTCGTTTGACTGCATTGCCCGTTGAATTAAGTAAATTAAAAAAGGCTTTAATACTTCTTCTGTTACCGCAGATGAGAAATTTTACAGTAACACATAGAAAGTCAGAATACACATGTGGATCTTGATTTTTTTTTTTTATTAAATACCAGGATCCGCATACGGATCTTAGTATAAATATGTTTGCTGCAAAAATTTTCATCTGTTGTCAGTGTATAAATGGGGAACTCATTAAAAAAATTACCCTTTAAATATATGTTTGGAGTGAGTCACCAATATGAATTTCATCAGTGCAAACATCTTGGGTTTATATTTAGATAAATTAAGAATTGGATCTAGCAGCATATGTTTTCATGTGTGTATATGCATGTATATTTGCTATGATTTAAAATATTGAGATCGGCATTACTCCACCAAGAGAAGAAGCAATTATAATCTTCCCCAGATCATGCAGCCAAAAAGTTCAACCTTGTGCAGGTTCAGAAAGATACAGCCACGTGGCAAGGAATCCTTTTTAGTACTTAAAATCTTATTCTAACCATGCTAACAACACATTTTCAACACTTTTTTATTTTTGACCAATCACACGAGCTCAATTCATTGAACGGGTTATTAAGGTGAGTATAAGGGATTATATCCCTACATCTACACCCGTAAAGGGAGATATTTGGACCCTCGTCATAGAGAATTTTACTACCCAAGCACGTATATTTCATGCACCAGGTGAGGATACTTGTTTCAGACCTAGCGGAGTTAATAAGGACAAAACAGTTATAGCTTTTTTTACTCATCCTTGTGGAATCTCTTCTATCTATATATATCCCTCTTCTATTATTGAAGAGATACATTTTGCACACCAAATCCCTTATTGTCATGTTGCATTTTAGACATACACTTGCAGTGACTCTCCATTAAGCTTAAGTTCATATCCCTACCTCATAGATCATTGTTACATTAGAAAGAAAGAAACCCATTTCCACCGCACCAACTTTCCAACTTGATATGTTATTAGACATCAGTCTTCAAACTACAATTACAAGGAAAGGAACGATCAGCTATAGTCAGAGGAAGCCAAAGACCTTCTTTGATAATAAAGCATAAGTAACACTTAACTCTGTTGATCCCGGATGAAAGGGAGGGGGGAAGGGAGGTGATTTGAGTTATCTAAACTTATGAACTTAAATCAGAGTTAATTTTTCAATAATAATTTTGAGCAATACTAGTAATTACATGGGAAAAACTTCAATTGGAGAAAAAAAAAATCCACGACCTCAATCTGGATATCTCTATCCAATTGGAAGACAAATCCACTATAATGAGCCATGTAAGAAGAGCTCAGCAAGAAGAGGAAGAATAAGAAATGAAAGACTACTCTTCTCTCACCAACCGATGTCACAAGATGGGAAGAAGGATGGGAAAACCCCTAACCAAATTTATAACAAAAGGGGAAGGAAGTGGGCCCCTTGTTGGAAGGTTTGGTTGACGATGAGTGGGAAGATGAGGTAAAAAAGATAGATATTTGGCAGAAACGTTATTCTTCTCTTACTGGTATTGTGTCTCATTTGTGATCTTGTTGTGCCAATCTGCAAGCATCATTGGCAGAAAAAAAATGATGCATATACTGCCATGGAGAAGGCAAAACAAGAGGCTGAGGAAGCCAAAGACACCGAGATGTAGGAGAAGGAGAATTGGAAGAAGAAATATGAGGATTTGAAAGCCTCGTATGCCAAAGTTAAGAAGTCCAACTCCAACCTCGTCGAGCAAGTATGTAAGTTAGAAGCTGCAGTTGCGACTTTCGAAGAGACAAAAATTAACCTGGAGAAAGATGTCGCCAAATACCAATAGTTGTGGCAAAACAAAGCTGAGGCGACATATCAGAACGTCATGGACCAAGTTTGCCACTTCAATCCCACTATCAAGCTTCAAAATGTTTGTTACTTCTATTTGGACAACATATGCGGATTAACGAGGAAACCAGAAAGGAAAAGTTGATAGACTTGAGAATCTTTATGGAAAAAGATATCGTTCCTGATCTCGTTGTCGCAAATAACATGGTGATTGGAGATATTAATGTCAATACTGATACTGCTGGAGGAGAAGCAGTTACGGGAGAGATGACAATCCAGAATGTATAGCTTTCTTTTTTCTTTTTCATTTTCATCTTCCTTGTTTATTTCAATCACGGTTTGTTCTGTGATAACAATTTGATATGTTGTATTAACTTAAAGCTCTGTTGCTTCAATACACTATGTTGCTATCAGTTCAACTTGCATTCAAGTTATTTTCAGTACTTTTTCATATATCACTTGTCTTAATTCATTTTAAACCTGCATCATGGCATTCATGTATGGTAATTTAACTATAGAATTCACTTATGATAAACAATGTGTACCTTTCCTTTAATTTCGATGTCGCTCAGCGAGATGTTTGGAAGTCTTTGTGTGATATCGCTGGTCTATGTCTGATGTCGCACATTTGATGTCACTTTTTTGACATAAGGTTCAAACATTAGGTACTGGTATAAGGGTTCAAGGCCTGTATACAACTGTTAACTTCACTTCACGACCTAAGGTTCACGCCTTAGGTACTGGTATAAGGGTTCATAGCCTGTATACCAATGTTCACTTTTCTTCAAGACCTAAGGTTCATGCTTTAGGCACTGGTATAAGGGTTCATAGCCTATATACCAGGGTCCACTTTTCTTCAAGGCTTGGTATAAGTGTTCAAAGCATGTATACCTGGGTTGACTTCCTAAGGTTCATGGTTTAGGTGCATAATCTAAGGTTCAAGCCTTTGATTATCTTTCTTGTCTTCGAAGCTTCTGTGTGTTGCTGCCTTAGGTTCAAGCCTTAGGGACCGAGTAAGACTTTGGGTCCTAAGTTTGTGTTCACTTTTGCCGAGATGGCATGGTTCAGTCATCAGGTGGAAACGAGGTTCATATCTCGCTTGTTCATTAATACTTGAACTCATAAAATTATGTCATTTCATTCCAAGTCAAGTCAAGTTCAATCGAAACAAGTTCAATGTTAGGAAAATTCAAGAGAAGTTCAATGAGCCATTTCAAATTAGTTCTCATTAGTCCAAAGTTCAATATAATTCAGAATAACTTAGCAGATATTAACTATAAAACTTTCTAAGTTTATCTGTGATCCAAGTTCGCGGGATGGTTAATTCTGATAAGGTTTCAATGCTGTAAACACCTTTATCAATTTTCTTTACCACGCGATATGGTCTTTCCTAATTAGCAGAGAGTTTACCTTGTTGTGTACATAGTAGTTAAAAGCGCCGCTACCCGCAACGTTTGCGGGTTGCGGTGGTCGACCGCAAGGAATAGCTCCGCACCGCGCTGGAAAGAGATTGCGTCTTTAGCGGCCGAAATAGCAGAGGAAATCGCTTATGTTTCGGCAAAAATCGCGGCTGAAATGGAGTTTTCTCTCTTTTCTGCGTTTTTTAATGGAGCGCTCTCTCTCTTCTGCGTATAAACTATAAAGATGTAGATGAGGAAGAAAATCACGTGACTTACAATTCATTTTGAATCTGATTTTTATTATATTATTATTTTAATTTGATTGTATGTAAATCACGTGACCTTTTATAAAATGGAGAGCTGTCTCTCTCTTCTGAGTGACTCGGACAGGACACTGAAAAGAAAATCAGAGATATATATAATTAAAAAACCTGAAAAGTAATCTGTCTTCTATGTGATTACGTAACCTGTTCACTTGACTTTTATTTATTATATAACCGACATATTTTTTATGCTATCAGAGATATATATAATTATATATCAATATATCCTCTCAAGATCATATTTATATACAATCAGAATCAGATATATATAATCGAAACATTTTTGTGAGAGATATATTGATTATATATATATATATATATATATATATATATATATATATATATATATATATTTGTATCCTATCAGATATAGATATATTGATTAATTTTTGTATTGTATCCTACAGAGAGATATATTGATTAATTATCCTATCAGAGAGAGAGATATTGATTAATTTTTGTATCCTATCAGCGAGAGATATATTGATTATATATATATGTGTGTGTGTGTGTGTGTGTGTGTGTGTGACCAACAAATTATTACCAACAACGTCTCCTCTGTAGCTCTTTTATTCATCTGAACGACTTTCTCTTTTGACTGGAAATCATCTCTTTTCTCTTCCTAGGTAATGTTCTTTATTTATTTGTTTTTTTTTGTTTTTTTTCTAGCATCCTATTTTTATTTTATTTTCTAGGTTATTTTTTTTTTGGATTTTTTTCTGACTTCTTCCCCTCTTTTTTGGGTTATCTTTTTTACCTCTTCCTTCTTCTTTTTTTTACCTTCTATTTTTTTTGCTGGCCTCCTAATCCTTTTGTCAGACAAAAAGATCATTACTGGTAGTGATGGCATCCAATGTGTCGGTTATTTTTTATATTAAAATTTATTTATTTATATATTAGACAAAAAGATCATTACTGGTAGTGATGGCATCCAATGTGTCGGTTATTTTTTATATTGAAATTTATTTATTTATATATTAGTGAAATTTATTTATTTATTTATATATAGTGAAATTTATTTATTATAAATTTATTTATAAAAAGATCTTTTTTACCTCTTCCTTCTTCTTTTTTGACTTTCTATTTTATTTATTTATATTGAAATTTATTTTAGCTTTTTTCTGATTTCTATTTTATTTTTTGTTTGCCTCTATAATAATAAATATAGCTAGTGATGGCATCCAACAACAGCACACAAGAATCTCCTTCTTCTTGTGCTTTGGTTAAACCCCCAGGTCCTTATCGTGATATAGCATGGCAATGGAATTCCTTGAAGGATATCAATAACAAAAGAAACGTGACATGTGACTTCTGTCAGAAGACAACAACAGGTGGAATTAC